CGTAGTAACAATCAATTTTTATTTTTATTTTTATTTTTGCGGGGGGAGGCTGCCGGGGATTGAATTTGGGTCCTTGTGCTTGCACCGCAGGCGGTGAAACCACCGAGCTAAATCCCCAGCCCAGATATTCTTTTTTAAAGATACAGACATTATCTGTCTGTCCCTAAATCTCAGAGATAGTCACTGTAAGTCTGTATATGGCTTGTATATGTCCTGTAGTTGATACTGTCCTTGACAATCGTGATAGTGGGGCAAAAGTATATAATAAATAAGTTTTATGCTCACACCCCACCTGGGAAAACATATATTAGACATGTAAAATCTAGCATAGTGTAAAAGCAGGTATGAGGCTGGATTGTTAACTTGATAGTTTTGGAGTCACCCAGAGAGGATGAGTTAGCACACTTCTGGGTATGTCTGGGTAGGATATCGAAGCATGAACTTGGGGAGTATGTCTGGTCCCTGGCCCCTTTCTTTCTGGCACTGTTCCTCTGCCCTGCTTCCTGGCCATCATGAAGTGAGCAGCTTTGCTCTCCCATACCCTTCCACTGTGGTGATTCTGCCTTGGAGCCAGCTGACCTGGGTCTGGATTATCTGAAACTGTGAGCTACAATAAACCATTTCCTCCCTTCAGTTGATGGTGTCAAGTATTTTGTCTCAGCAATGGGAAAGCTGAACAATACTGAAAATTGGTATTGGAGAAGTAGGGTTATTGCTGTGACTATACCTGACCGTGTGGTTCAGAAGCCTTTACAATTGGTTTGTAGGAGGAATTTGGAAAGCTTCAGCAATACAGGCTAAAGAAGCCCTAGAATGCTGTAAGCAGAACTTCTAGTTAGACCTCAGAAGACTAGAATGCTGTTAGGAATGTGAATAGTAAAGGCCAAGATGAGGTTTCAGTTGGGAAAAGGATTTTATTGGGCATTAGACTAGAAGCCCTGTGTGTTTCATTCTGGCAAAAACATTTGTCTATGCCCTAAGACTTTGTGTGAAGCTGACTTTTGAGATGGTGTACTCTCAGGCATGATGACAGACGCCTGTAATCCAAACACTGGAAGGCTGAGGCAGGAGGATTGCAAGTTTGAGTCCTGCTTGAGCAGTTTAGCGATACCCTGTCTTTAAAAAAAATGGGAGAAGGGACTGTGGATACAGATAAGTGTGAAGGCCCCTGGTTTAGTTGCCAGTACACCACCACTACCAAAAAAATGATGGTTCAGTGTGAAGGTCCTGTGTTCAATCCTCAGTACCCGCCCCCACACACAATGACAGACTAATTCATCTGCCAGAGGAAATTTCAAAGCAGGCCAGGATTCACGCTATGGCATGAGTACTGCTGGATGCTTTTAGCCAGAATTATAATAAGAATTAGGAGCAAAACCACAATTGAAAAACTTAAATGTTGACCAGAAAAGGAATCCATGTAAAGTTGGGGCCACAGGAGGTAAGGCTGCTGAAGAGATGCTATTGCTATCAAAAGGACACCAGGTATTTTGAGCCAGCACAAGAAGAGCAATGCACTGAGAACATCTCAGGAATCAGTAAGACCTCACGCATCACAGGCCCAAGGGTACAGAAAGTGCAAACCTTTCATTTGAGAAAAGAGCCCCTGAGCCTCCTGCTCAAGAGAGACCTCCTAGGGAATTGGTTGGCCAGGATTCATTTCACTGTGCTCAGTCATCCAGGTACTCAGAGGCCACTACAGTCACGGTCCAAGGGGACCTGGTTACTACTTTAGCTGGCAGCAGACCTTGGTGCTGTCCACATGATTCTGATGGCTCAGGCATGCAGAACGTGAGTTGTGGGGCCATGGAGGCTCCTACCCAGACATCGAAGGAAGACCTGGGAGGCCAGGCAATGTGCCACTGGGAGAGGGACGCATGAAGCTATGAGAATGAAGCTGAAGATGGTGCAGAGACTCCAGGACGTCATCAAGGCCATAGGGGGAGGGTTACTTGAGCCTGCTAGAACTCAATCTTACCACCATGTGCTGTGGGTGCTAGATATAGAGCTATAGCATTTAATGTTTTCTCTGTTCAGTTTAGGTCTTGCTTTGGTTCTATTCTTGCCTAATCCTTCCTTTTGAAGTGGTAATGTTTACTCTGTACTGTTTTATATTGGCAATATGTAACTTGCATTTTGAATTTTCAGAGATTTACAGCTAGGAGTTTGCCTTGAATCTCAGAGAAAATTTTGGACTTGGACTTTTGAGCAGTGCTGGAACTGTTAAGACCTTGAGGAGGGCATTAGTGCATTTCTGCTTGGGACAGTTACATCATGTTAGGCAGAATTACGACTTGTGTTTATTTTTTGGTGGATGTGGGACAGTTATATTGTGTTAGGCAGAATTATGCACTGTGTTTGTTTGGAGATTCAGTATAATTTCAAGAGATGTGTTTGGGTGTGGAGTTGACAAGGGGTGGAGTATGACACTTAAACTGGGTTGTCAGTTTAATTGGCTTCACCCAGACATGGTGGCGCACACCTGTGATTCCAGCACTTGGAAGGCAAAGGCAAGAGGATCATGAGTGTAAGACCAATCTGGTCTACATAGTGAGTTCAAGCCCACCCTGAGCTACATAGCAAGACACTGTCTTAAAAAAACAAAACAAACAAAATGGCTTCAGAGCCACCCAGGGGAGTAAAGCCCACTCGTGGGTGTGTGTGGATGGGCCATGGAGGTGTGACCTTGGGTGCTATATCTGATTCCTGGGCCCTTCCCCACTGGCACTGTTCTGACTGCTCTGCTTCCTGGCCATCGTGAAGTGAGCAGTTGTGCTTCACCACGTCCTTCTGCCATGATGTTCTTGCCTTTGAGCCAGCTGACCATGGAGTAAATCCCCTGAAACCATGGGCTGAATAAACCATTTCTTCCTTTAGGTTTCGGGTGTCAGATATTTGGTCACAGTGACAAAAAGCTGAATAATACATAAGACAAGGTATATATTAAAACTGAAAAGGAATTATAGAGAATAGAGAATTAAAATAGTCTAAAAGTATTGAGATGACTTCATAGAGGAAATCAATCTGGAAGAAAAGACAAAGCTTTTGATATAAGGCAGTCACCCTTGAGAACAATGTAAACAAAGCAAAGCTGTCTTTGATATTTTAGAACTTCTGTTAACACTTATTTAAACATTATTCTTGGGAATAGTCCATACTTAGCAGGTGTGTATAAGTATGTCTGTCACCCTTCTAATCATATCACCTCAAATTGGCACACAGGGAAAGACCAGTCTGTGAACCAGGGAGCATGGGTGGATACATTACACTTTGCCTAGTAAACCATATAAGATTGCAAGTGATCAGACCAATAAGACTTCTAATATTTTATAAAATTCTTACTTTGCTCTTGTTTGTTTGTTTATTTATTTTGGTGGTACTAGGGATTGAACCCAGGGCCTTTACCCCCAGCTACAGCCCCAGCCCTTTTTATTTTTTATTTTGAGACAGGGTCTTGTTAAGTTACTATATTGTTCAGCTTATGATTTTCCTACTTCAGCCTCCCAGAGTGCTGGGGTTACAGGCATGCACCACTACACCTGGCTATTATTCAATTTTAAAGTCTCTGAATCAGGGCCGGAGATTTAGCTCAGCGGCACTGTGCCTGCCTGGCAAGTGTGAGGTCCTGAGTTTGATCCTTGGTATCAAAATAAAAACTCTGTATCTTCCCTTATGGAAAAACTGTATTTCATATATGCTGTGTAAGAATTTCATGCCTGTATCTGTCCTTTTATAGTCTCCATCACACCCAAGAGCTGCTATATGAGAGCATCAAAGACTTTCTGCAACTGAGATTTGAAAACCAAAATAAAGAGAAGTCATGGATGCTTGAAAAGGATCATTTGATGTCAAAGATTAAGCAATATAGGGTGCAGTCTAAGAAGAAAGAAGATAAAATTGGAAAAGTTTTCCCAATTTCACATGACAGTCATCATGCCCAAAATGAATATATTAAGGTAATGTGCTTATGTATTACAGAAATTGTTTATTTTTCTGGAGGAATTGAAAGAACTCAGAGAATTCCAACGAACTTATGGATTGTCATGTAAGATCCATTCAGTCCAGGAAGCTGGGGTAGCAGCAGCCTCATGAAATAGGTCTTAAAGCGTCATTGATCATTATCGTGTTTGGAGATTAAAATACTAGACTGTTGATTGATTATCCATTCAATAAATAGACTGGGCCACAGTGCTGCAGCAGTACATAAGTTAGACAAGGCCTGTGCTCATGGTGTTCGCATTTTAATGGGTCAGGCAAAAACAGGGACATTAACAAATAACCAAGAAAACCATAGACTATAGAAATGATATTAAGGGAATAAGAGCATTGTATGAAGATCATGTGTAGTTGCTGGAAGCCCACTTGAGAAGGGTGCACAGGGACATGGCCTTGCTGCATAGCCCAGACTGGCCTTGAAATCATTATCTATGTGGCCCAAGCTGGCCTTGACCTCACAGTGATCTCCTGCCACAGCCTCTGAGTGCTGGGGTTATGGGCGTGCACCACCATTCACAACTAAGTGTGTCTGGTGTTATTATATTGCTGAGACCTGCAGTATAAGACTAAGTGTGCTGTGTTGCCCTGGGGGAGGACATTTCCAGCAGAGGGAGAAACAGAGTTAAAGCCCTTGGAGTTTACTCAGAGAAAAGGAAGAAAAGGAGCCCTGTCCATGTGAGTGTGCTCCCTCGGGGGGAGTGAAGTGCAAGAGGCATGAAGCATAGGCAGCAGCCAGTCAGAAAAGGTCTCAGCACTCATGGTCAGGAACATGACCCTAGTTCCAAATACTGCATTTTCAAGGGATTGTGTTTAAGGAAGAAACATCCTATTTAAGATTTTCTTGTTTTTAGCCAGGCATGGTGGTACACACCTGTAATCCCAGCAGTGGAGAGGCTGAGGCAGGAGGATCATTGTGAATTGGAGGCCAACCTGGGCTACATAGTGAGTTCAAAGCCAGCCTGAACTACATGGCGAGACCCTGTCTCAAAAACAAAAAGTTTTTGTTTGTTTGTTTTGTTTTGCTTTTTGTATTTATGTATTTGTTTGCAGTACTGGGCATTGAACCCAGGGATAATCTACCACTGAGCTACATTCCCAATCTTTTTTATATTTTATTTTGAGACACAGTCTTGCTAAGTTGCCTAAGCTGGACTCAAACTTCCCATCCTCCTCCCCTAGCCTCCTCAGTCACACTAGGGTCTGATTTAAGGGTGTTTGTTTGGTTTTGGTTTTTTAAGATATGACCTCACTATGTAGTTCAGGCCAAAACAGAATAGCAGAAGGGTATGTGGTAATGGAGATCTGTTCATTGCATGGCAGCCAGGAAGCACTGATGCTCCTGCCTCAGCCTCCCCAGGGCAAAGATTTTAGGCATGCCCCACCATACCCACCTTTGATTTTTAAAAGATTATCTTGTCCGCTTAGTGGAATCTGTATAGAAAGTATTGATTTTATTTTTTCCTTTTTAAAGAGCTTTCTCACCAAGTGTGGTGGCACATGATTGTAATCCCAGCACTTGGGAGGCTGAGGCAGAAGGATCATGAGTTCAATGCCAGCCTGGGGTATATAGTGAGCTCAAGACCAGCTTGAACTATGTAGCAAGACCCTGTCAAAAAAAAAACTGAGAAAACAAAATAAAACTTAAGAAATGTGGCGCAAAACATATATTGTAATACCTTACTTGAGATAAATTCTGAACTCCATTATGTGACTCTTCCAAAGCCAAAACTAGGGCCCGGGGATTTAGCTCAGGGGCTCTGCTGCCTGCCTCACAAGCACAAGGACCTGAGTTCGATCCCTGGTACCCGCCCCCCCCAAAAAAAACAGAAAAAAAAAGAAAACCAAAGCCAAAAATATTTGTTTTAAAGAATTTCTACTATGTACACTTTAGAAAAGGTGCTGAGAGAATAGTCTAGAAATGGGAAGTTTCCAGATGTTCTCCAAAGTACCTTACTACCTTGTTCCTTACTTCATTTTATACTTGTGGAAATCCTTTTTTTCTGTTTTGTTTCTTTTAATACCTAAGTACTATTTGAATAACCTAAATTCTCAAACTGGGAATTAATATTTCTTTGACCTTTTGGCCTGCAGTCCCTAAAGGATAAGTTAATACAAGAGAAGAAGCTGTCCAACATGTACCAAGAGCAGTGCATTTCCTTAGAAGAAGAACTTGCCCGGATTCGGGAGGAGGAGGGAGTACAGAGAGAGATCTTCAAGGTACAAAATTCTTTGCATTTATGATGGAGGTGGAAGTACAGACAGCTGGGAAATCCTTCCCTTGTTCATAAATGCCTTCCCATCCCCATATTTAGGATCGCTCTAACAAGATGGGGAAGCGTTTACAGATAATGACAAAACGCTATGAGGCCTTGGAGCATCGACGGAACTTGGAAGTAGAAGGCTTTAAGACAGACATTAAAGTTCTTCGACAGAAACTGAAAGACTTGGAACAAATGCTGTACAAGGTAATTGCTGGTCTTGAATCACCTTGGGGAGAAAGAGGTAGAAGTGTGAAAATACTGATACCGTGTAACTCAAGGCCCTGGTTGCTCTCCAGCACCACCCCACAAGAAGAATGGAATATTTCCCTGGTGGTAGACACTGATGGATTGCCATCTGTGTTACTCGGCTTTCCAGCACTGTGATCAGGTACCTGACATAAACAGTTTAAAGCAAGAGAGGTTTATTTTGACTTATGGTTTCAGAGATTTCTCCCCATGGTCAGCTGGCACCAAGGCCTAAATATAATTGCAGAAGGGTCTGGTGAAGGAGATCTGTTCATCACACAGCAGCCAGGAAACAGAGCAAGGAAGGGCTAGTGAGGAAGAAATTAGGGACAAGTTACAGCCCCCAACTCATGCCCCCCATGACTCACTCCATGTAACAAGGCTCCACCTCCTAATTCTATCACCTCCCAATAATGCCATCAAACTGTGGATTAATCCACTGATGAAGTTAGAGCCCTTGTGATTTGATCACTTTCCAAAAGCTCAGCAGCAACCACACCTTCAACACAATGAACCTTTTGGGGGACATGTCATCTCCAAACCATAACATCATCCTTCAAGCCTCCCAGAAAATCAGTCCAGCTAGTGCACATTAGAGGGACAAAAACAAAACTGAAATAATGGAATGGCTGCATCAGTACTTCCATCTAAGCTAAACTTAGACACTGTCATCTTTCCCAGTTTAATGAGTCAATTAGAAGAATTACCTCTTTTTTACAAATGAGGAAAGTGAATGATTGAGTAACAAAGTAATTTTTCCAAGACTCTGTTCTTAGAATCCAAATTGCCTGAAGATTAGAAATTAGACTAGTCATCCACATACCCTAATGTTTGTTGTATTCTGAATAAGGTTAAGAAGAAGTGGTACTTTCATTCTCTGGCAAATTTACCAATGTTTATGTTGTTCTGTTCTTTTTACACAAAGTTGGTTATTGATCTCTACCTCAAAGCTCCTTTACTATTGTATGGGAAAGCAGAGTTTCTTGCCTTTTCTGGTTTAATTCTACATTTTCTTTAAGTTAGTCACTGAATAAGCCAAGGATTGAATTTACTGTATGTACTAAGAATCCCATAAAAAGGAGCCAGCCAGCATAGTCTGATCTTCATGACTGATTTCTCTCCCCCTGGCTTATTCCATAATCATTGCCTCTTGTCTTTTCAAATCTCTAGGCAACAATGAATGCTCAGGCAAACCAGGACCTTGCGATGCTGTGTGAGGTCCGCAACAGCAATAGACGGGCACATAAGATACAAGGAGAACTGAAGATCCTCAAGTCCAAAGTGTTCGGTCTGGAGAATGAACTTAGGCTCTGTTGATATGTGCTTTCAGAAGAAAGGTCATCTGCTCTCAGGAGTGTGGACCTGAAATTGTTAAGAGTAGTTGTACCCATTTTTATAAAGACCGAGTGAAGAAGAAGAGCACAAAGAAAGCCTTTCTTGCATGCCAAGGTTCCTTTGCAATTGTCACTGTCCTGTTGACCTTCCTGGGGTATAGAGATGACAGCCTAAATTACTTTGAGGCTTTCCTGCATTATTTCTCCCCTTGTATTGACTGGTTTTTGTTTTTTTTAAGAAGGCAGTGAGTGAAACTCAGAAAGACAGTTTTTGCTATGATTTTGGTTGAATGACAGTTGGAAGAACACTTTTCCTACAGGATAAAAGCCCTCATTGAAGGTGCCTTCTTCCTAGGCAACGAAAGTTGCTGCTGCCAATCACTTACCAAATCTGCAGTGTATCGGCTCTTTAACTTTCCTCACTCAACGCCTGTGCTTGCTGGGTCACCACCAGAGGGCAGTAGAGATCCTTCTCCCGCAAAACGTTAATCTGAAAAATAGAGGCGCTGCTGTGGCAAGAGAGGGTGAAGCTGAAAGGATCCTCGTATGAAAAATTTAACATTTTAGCAATAACATGTTTTGTTAAGTAATGTATTTCAAATGGACTACTTTCAATAAAATACATAATTTTAAATATTTGCATTTTCTATAATGTCTTGTTAAAACCTTGTTTGTACGTTGTTAATGACTCATGTCTCGGATTTATTGCTTGTTCCATAGTCCCTACAGTTTTCTACAGCTATACGTGTTTCCTAAATGAATCCCTTGAAATCACCTGGTGTTGGAGATAGCATGAATAGTGCAAGGGTGAGTGATGACAGTAAAATTGTCCCCATTTTTAGCCAAATTACTACATACTTGAGGGGTAAACATCATGGTATGTGGGTTATATATTAATTTAAAAATGAAAAATACATGAATAGTGTAGTCTGGTGTCTGGTATATATTGGACATTCAGATACAGTTAAGCATTATTTATATTTTGGCTTCAGTTGAGTTCTTTCCTTGTACTAGGAATGGAACCCAAGGCTAGGCAAGTGCTCTACCACTAAGTTGTACCTCAGCCCACAACTGATTGTTATCAATTGTTCACCACTCTCAGTCAGATTCTAAGATGTATTTAACTAATACTATTCATTCCTTCGTTCAAAAATTTGTCTTTTTTTGGTACTAGAAATATGCTAGATCTTATTTATTAAAAACATTAAAACAGTTTTTGTACTCCAAAGGCTGGTGGGAAAGATAAACAGAGAAGAAATTTAATTCAGTAAGTGGCCTGCTGTGAGTACACAGGATAGAAGCAGCAGAGAAAATGAATTAAGGAAGTATATTTTACCTGAATCTGTTTGTTTGTTTGATTGTTTGAGACAGGGTCTCACTATGTAGTCCAGGGTGGCCTTGAATTCACTATATTGCCCAAGCCAGCTTCAAACTCACTGTGATTCTCCTGCCTCAGCCTCTTGAGTGCTAGGATAACAGGTGTGCATCACTGCACCCTTCTCTGAGCTGAATCTTAAACTTGAGTTTAGAACCAGATAGGATGCTGAGCATTCCAGGTAGAGGAGCAGTGTGTGTGGAGGCATGGAAGAATAGAATGGAGACATGCAAGCACAAGAGACAAAGTTATAGGACATAAGAAATGGTATGAAATGTCATTTAATACAGTAATATGGATTTTAAACATTTCAGGAGTGGGGCATGGTAGTGCATGCTTGTCATCTCAGAACTTTGGAAAGTGCAGGCAGGGAGATGAGCCTGAGCCTAGACTGGGCAGCTTAGCAAGGGCTTGGGATGTACCTTAGTTCAGAGGCCCTGGATTCAATCCTCAGTCCTACAAAAAAAAAAATGTTTTGAACTTTTGAATCAATTAGAAACATTTGGGTTTACTTAAAAAATTGTTTTAAATAGCCTTGGCCTGGGGATTTAGCTCAGTGGTTCTGCCACTTGCCTCACAAGCACAAGGACCCGAGTTCAATCTCCAGTACCAAAAAAACCCAAAAACTGGTGGTTATAAAAATAGCCTTGGTGGCACACGCCTGCAACCACAGCTACTGTAGGCTGATGCAGGAGAATCTCAGGTTTGAGGCTAGCCTGGGCCACATAGAGACCTGAGTCCAAGAAAAAAAATCACTAAAAGAATAATATCAGCCGCGGTGGACCTCTTGGTAGCGCTCTGTCCTCAGCTGATCTGCTCCAGGAAGTTCATCCCTTTGTGGAGGTGGGAAGTAAAAGGATCATCCTTTGACTAAAACTATATCCATAGTGCCGAAAACTTGAAGAGCTTTCTCTCTTTGTCTCATAACCATGTCCACCAATGAGAATGCTAATTCACCAGCTGCCCGGCTGAACAGATTCAAGAACAAGGGAAAAGACAGTACAGAAATGAGGCGGCGAAGAATAGAAGTTAATGTGGAGCTAAGGAAAGCTAAGAAGGATGATCAGATGCTGAAAAGGAGGAATGTCAGCTCATTTCCTGATGATGCTACTTCACCACTGCAGGAAAACCGAAACACCCAGGGTACTGTGAATTGGACTGTTGGTGACAGTGTCAAAGGCATAAATAGCAATAATCTGGAAGGCCAGCTCCAAGCTACTCAAGTTGCCAGGAAACTGCTTTCTCGGGAAAAACAGCCCCCCATTGACCACATAACCCGGGCTGGTTTGATTCCAAAATTTGTGTCCTTCTTGGGCAGAGGTGATTGTAGTCCCATCCAGTTTGAGTCTGCTTGGGCACCCACTAACATTGCTTCCGGGCCATCAGAACAGAGCAAGGCTGTGGTGGACGGAGGCGCTATCCCAGCACTCATTTCTCTCTTGGCATCTCCCCATGCTCACATCAGTGAACAGGCTGTATGGGCTCTAGGAAACATTGCAGGTGATGGTTCAGTTTTCCCAGACTTGGTTACCAAATATGGTGCAGTTGACCCACTCTAGGCTCTACTTGGAGTTCCTGATATGTCATCTTTAGCAGGTGGTTACTTACGTAACCTTACCTGGACACTTTCAAACCTCGGCCACAACGAGAATCCTGCATCCCCGTTAGATGCTGTTGAGCAAATTCTTCCTACTTTGGTTCGTCTCCTGCATCACAATGATCTGGAAGTATTAGCAGATACCTGCTGGGCTATTACCTTATGGATGGTCCAAATGAACGCATGGAAGTGGTTGTAAAAATGGGGGTTGTGCCCCATCTGGTGAAGCTTCTAGGATCAAATGAATTGCCAATTATGACTCCCGCGCTAAGAGCCATAGGGAATATTGTCCCTGGAACGGATGACCAGACTCAGATTGTGATAGGTGCAGGAGCAGTTGCTGTCTTTCCCAGCCTGCTCACCCACCCCAAAACCAGTATTCAGAAGGAAGCTGCCTGGACAATGTCAGACACCCCAGCTGGCCGTCGGGACCAGATGCAGCAAGTCGCGAATCATGGATTAGCCCCATCCCTCATCAGTGTCCTCTCTAAGGCAGACTTAAGACACAAAAGGAAGCTGCGTGGGCTGTGACCAGCTGTACAAGTGGTGGGACAGTTGAACAGATTGCCTATCTCGTTCACTGTGGTACAGTAGAACCACTGATGAACCTCATCACTGCGAAAGATACGAAAATTATTCTGGTTATTCTGGATGCCATTTCAAATACCTTCCAGGCTGCTGAGAAACTAAGTGAAACTGAGAAGCTTAGTATAATGATTGAAGAATGTGGTGGCTTGGACAAAACTGAAGCTCTACAGAACCATGAAAATGAGTCTGTGTACAAGGCCTCATTACACTTGATTGAGAAGTATTTCTCAGTAGAGGAAGAAGAAGATCAAAATGTTGTGCCAGAAACGACCTCTGAAGGCTATACCTTCCAAGTTCAAGATGGGGCTTCTGGTACCTTTAACTTCTAGATGGTGCAGCTGAGGAAGACATCAAATTTTTGTTGTGTACTATGTTCGGTATAAGTTTGTCTTCTGTTTCTCTACTAAGAACTCTTTTTAAACGTGGTTTGTTATTGTAGCACTTTGTACGACGAAACTCTACTTGAACAGTTCCAAACTGTACATACTGTATGAAGCTTATCCTCTGAAGGGGTTTCTTATTTCTATGTGGAATTTCATATTTTGCAGTGTCCTGTAAATAAAGATTAAATTCCAAAAAAAAAATAATATCAATTCATGCGTGAAAAAAAATTGCAATGAAAATTAACTTTCTTAAAAATTAGAGGTAAAGCTGCATGTGGTAGCACATACCTGTGATTCCAGCACTGAGGAGGCTGAGGTAAGAGGATTGCAAGTTAAAGCACAGCTTGGGCAACTTAACTGAGTGAGACCTGTCTCAAAATTTTAAAAAAAAGGACCGGGGATGTAGTTAGTATTGAGACATTGGGTTGAATCCCTGTATTACAAAAAAGTACAAAAAGGGGATGTGGGTGGAGAAGTATCATGCAATAACAAATATATGAAATGTTTATTTCCTGGGAAGTCTTTGTACTGCAGGCCAGAATAATCACTTACTACTAGGATTTATTGCAATATCTCCAAGAATAAAAGTGTAGCGCAAAAAAATCTTTTGAAAAGAGTCATCAGCGTCATCTGTTTTGCCTTCTAAATTTTCTCTTTTGCCAGATTATTAGTAGCTACTTTCAGAACCTGTACTCTAATAAATTGAAGACTTCCGAAGAAATGGATTGATTCCTAGATACATATGAATTGCCAAAACTGAACCAAGAAGATATATAAACCCCGAACAAGAAAATAGCAAGCAATAAAAATTGAGGCAGTAATAAAAAACTACCAAATAAGAAAAGCACAGGTCCCAATGGATTCACTGCCAAATTCTACAAGAACTTTAGGAAAGATCTAATCCCAATACTCCTTAAACTCTTTAGTGAAATTGAAAGGGAAGGAGTACTCCTAAAGTCATTCCTGGAAGCTAGCTTTACCCTGATTCCAAAATGAAAAAAGGGAACTACAGGGAAAACTCTAGTGAACATAGACACAAAAATCCTCAACAAGATAATACAGAACAGAATGCAACAAATCATCAAAAAGATCACACATCATGATCAAGTAGGATTCATCCCAGGGATGCAAGGATGGTTCAACATTAGCAAATCAATAGACATAGTACATCACATCAACAGAAGCAAGGTCAAAAATCACATGATCATCTCAATCGACACAGAAAAAGCCTTTGACAAAACATCCATTCATGTTAAAAAAAACAAAAAAAACCCTTAACCCAGGTGTGGTGGCTCACATCTATAGTCCCAGCACTCGGGAGCCTGAGGCAGGAGGATCGCCCTGAGTCTGAGGCCAGCCTGAACTACATAGTGAGACCCTGTCTCAAAAAAAAAAAAAAAAAAACCCCTTAAGAAAATAGGCATAAAAGGACCTTATCTCAATCTGGTAAGAGTCATATATCACACACACACAAAAAAACCCAAAATAACAATAACAAAAGGAATCAGCCAATGTCATGTTAAATGGGGAGAGGCTGAAAGTTTTCCCTGTGCAATTAGGAACACAACAAGGATGTCCACCATCCCTACTTTTATTCAGTATAGTTCTCAAAACAGAGCAGTCAGGCGAGAGAAAGAAATAAAAGGGATATATATAGGAAAGGAAGAAGTCAAATTATTATTTGCAGATGACATG